AAGGGATCTTCTTCTTGCATATGTTGGACCTGTATGCCTCAAAAAGTTATCTAACTTCATTTTACCTAGGCAGATTTATGACATACCAATGACTGAACTGCTTGATACATTTCGGTGTGTTTATAAACCTAGTTAAACAATCTTTGCAGCGAGACTAGACTTTGAAAAATGTGTGAGAGGAAATGATGAGAGTTTTTCAAATTTCGTCTTACGTTTAAAAGAGTTAGCCTCCTACTGTAAATACGACAGGTATTTTGAGGAAAGAGTAAGGGATAGATTTGCTGGTGGCGTTAACTTTCCACAGTTTGAAGTTGAAATCAGGCAAAGGTGGCCAGAAGGCATAAATAAAGATGGTTCACTTTTAACTTTAAATGAGTTGGTAGATTTAGCTGAAGCGATGGATAGAGCTAAGCGGGAAATGAATATTTTAGAAGAAGCTATGCCTGTAATTAACAAGGTACATAACTATGATAAGAAAAATAGATCTTTGGCAAAAGAAACATACAGCCATTCTACAGAAGATTGTAATCAGTGTGGACTAGTACACAGTGGAGAATTTTGCCCAGCTCAAAAGTCTAAGTGTTTTTCATGTGGAAAGCAAGGTCATTTCTCACGACAATGTGGAAACAAAAAGACAAAACAATGTCACTTCTGTGGAAAGATGGGTCATTTTCCGCGACATTGTCGTTCAAAAAAGGCCTATTTGAACCAAATCAACGACACAGACATAAAATCTGAGGAAGAAGAGGTACAGTTAGGAATTTCTTAACTTAAACCTAATAGGAAGATCCCAAGAGCACAAATTAATGTTACCCTAAATGAAGTACCAACAACCATGGAGTTTGATTCAGGAGCTAGAGCATCGATGATTGATGCACTCCTGTGGAAACGAATTGGATCACCAAATTCGAGGGCATGTAAAACAAAATTTGTCGCTTATGGAAACAATACCCTGGATGTTTTAGGAGAGTGTGAAGTTAATGTTAAAGTTTATGGACAGATTAGGAAACTTAAGGCTGCTGTGGTAAATGGAAACGAATCTCCTTTGTTTGGATTACCATGGATGCTTCTTATATGTCGAATTGAATGTCTCTTGAAAAATGCTTCCATTTCAGTAGAGACAAACTGTGGCCCGTTGTCAGTTACTACTTGTGATGGTATCCCATACCTGCTCATCCACGATCTTAATCTTTGAATTATGGCAGTTGAAGTCGTTGTTCTTAAACATTCAACTTCTGCCCACTTAGATAGCGTGTCAATCCCTACTAACCACATTACTCCATCAACTGGTCCAGCTAAATCCAAATGAACATTAAATGAGTTTAAGTTAGTTCTTGATTTTATTTCACTGTCCATCACCGAACAGCTGCATTTGAGAAACTTCCTTCTCAATTAGGTGTCAGGCTCCTTAACTGTCTTCCTGAAAGGCTTAAAAGTCTGGAAAGTTCCCTTCTACTCAAAACAAAACTGAAGCGTGACTTGAAAAATCAGGCGTTCTATTCGGTTGATGAGTTCACTGCACACCGTTGGAGTTAAGGGCCATAGTATTATATTCCTCAGGGGTTATGAGTTAAATATTTTAAGGCTTTCTTAATAAATGTAAAATGTTTTTCAGTTTTCCACCATTTCTTTAATGTATTGATTTATTTGTTTAAAGTTAAATTTAATTTAAAGTGTAATTTTATAAAATAACCTCTATGTAACTATAAATATTAGAATAACTATTATATGCTACACGATGTAAAAATTGTCAAGAGCAATAAATAAATAAATAAAGTAGGTGTATTTCATCATTTGACAGCATTACAATATCACTTATCAGCAAGGTTATGGAGACATTATAAAGTGCTGCAATGTAGAGTCGACTCACTCACTGGTGACAGACTCTGTTTTAACCTCACTGTCCAAGGTTACAGGAAATGCGTAGAGTTTGTCAAGAAGTTTAGTCTTCCGAACCTGATGGTTGGTAGAGGTCGCTACACAATCCGCAATGTTTCCTGGTTGTTCCAGGTACGAGACTACAGTTGCTTTGGAAGTGGAGTTTCCCAATGAACTTCCCTGTGACTACTTTGAGTACTTTGGTCCCGATTTCAAATAGCCCATCTCCCCATCCAACATGGCTAACCAGAACACTTGTGATTACCTTAAGAACAGATTAAGAGAAAAGTATAACTGGAGATGATTACGAACAGGTTGTTTGACAACTTTCAAACAATCTGCCTCATGCTCCGGATGCTCTGTCTGATGCTGCCTCGTGCTCCGGATGCTCTGTCTGATGCTGCCTCACGCTCTGGGCAAGCAAATTCTAGCCATTGTGGACGATGGAATCAGAGAAAAATCAGAAGACAAGAACAAAAAAATCCTGGTGAGAGGCTGCCTCAGAGTCTCCGAGATAAGCTTATGAAAATGAGCTGAGTGACTGTGAAGATGCGGGTCCTGGAGGTGGTGGTAGACGAGACAACCGATTGTTCAAGGAAAAGAAGCATGTTGCTGACACCAACATCAACAAAATTAAGACAAATAAATGACGACGGAGAAAAAACAACAGATAATATGAACATAGAATCAGGACCAAACCCTTGATAATCTAACAAAATTAACTATCTTGTATTTAATATGAAGACTAAACCAAACTCTGCTACCACATATATAAACTCACCAATGTTACTTATAATCTGTTCACAAAATTTAGGCTGTTTGATGGGAAGTTCCTCACTTTTTTTGTTTAATGTTTGTTGCAGCTGTTTGACATGTTGAATAAAATGTTTGTTGATATTTACTTGTGTCACCACTCATAATCTTTACCTTTAGTTCTGAACTATTAATTTTCCTTTTGTGTTTTATATTTAATATCATATGTTCAGCTGTTTATTGTTTATTTATATTTTGTAAACAAATATTCAATTACATTCTGTAGTTCAACCAAACAAGACCTATCTCTTCTCTTTCTTTTTATAATAAACTGTTTTACTACTTAAATTACCAACAACCTGCGTTCTGCCAATAATAATAATATTAACTATGATGTCCTCCTCCGGTTTGGAAGTGGTGGAGGACAAAACAAATTATATTAGTGATGGCGGGGGCAGTGGTGTTAACAACTTGTTACCTCATCTGTCGAGCTATTGTATTAAGGGTAGGGTGATGTGGAGGGAATGGATTTCTTCCCCTATAACCACCCAAATGTTAATGGAGTTTATTAAAGGGTGACTAAGAATAGCAGATTCAAAGCTATCCTAAAATCCCTGCCACCGTAGCATATCCCCTTGGATAGCATATTTCCTTGACTGTACTGATTTGGAATGGATGAAAGTAGCAGAACAGAAGATGTACCAAGCACAGTCAGTGGGTTATTAGTCCAGGCAGACAACAGATGACGCTAACCTGGCAAAGTTTTGCAGTCTGGACTTAAACTCCACCGGGTTAGTGTTGTCTGTTGTCGTAACTGATCAGTAAATGTTTCGTGTCCGTAAACGTGTTTTGTGTCGTGTGTAAATGTTTATTTATTTTTACGTGTTAAATCTGACGCTCTTCATGTGAAGAAAGAAGAAGTCCTTGTACCGCCTGAAGATGACTCACATAGGAGTCAAAACTAGTTGCAACTCCAATTAAATAGATTGCTTGATAGCAGGTATTTAAACCTTTTTAACAGAATATAATGGCTACACCCTAAACCCCCCTTAGACTTTGAATTTTGTAAACCCCCATCTTATTGCATATCTACACCATACAAGGACCCTGTATGTCATATTTGATAATTCTAGGTTGTATATTTTGTGAGATATAGCAAGGGAACACTAAATAAACAGGCTGTAATGCTCCTCTGGCATGAAGTCATCATAGGCGATGGCAATGACGTAATGTTTTCCATTTGTGATCAGCTGCTTGTTTTAATCTTTTCTTGGAAAACAAAAATATAACAAAAAAAAGTTAACATTACGTCATTGTCTTTGCCAGAGGAGCATTGCAACCTGTTTATTTAGTGTTGCCTTGGATATAGAGATCTTTTAGTCAGTCAGTGGTATTTGTCTTTTAAAAGTATAGAGATAACTTGTACCGATTTTGTTGTATTATACAACAAATTAATACAAGTAGACGCGAACAACCAGTCAGCTGATTAAACAATAGACGACTATACCCACAGTGCACTACGAGGAGTGGTGATGATTTTAGCCCAGCCAGGAATCGTCAGTCACTAGTAGAGTTGTTTCCGCCCTTCCCAAGGTAATAGGTGATCCAAGTTCGGTTCGTGCAAATTAAATTCATTCACAGTGTTTGTCGGTCAATTCATATTTTCATTAAATCGTGTAGCCTATATCCCGCAGGGATATATTTGCAGCGCGTGGTGAAAATAAAATCAGTTTCCAGAAACAAGTGTCGTAAATTTACTTTAACGGCTAGCACAAACCGCCATTGGAAAGTTCACGTTCTGTCGATCGAAAACTCATTCACGTTTTTTGAGGAAAGATCACCTATTGCCGTAATTCCTTCCCTTATAGTGTGTTTAGTGTCGGACGTCCAATTTTGTAAGTAATCTATGTTCTTTATTGTTGTAGTTATATTTTTCAGTGAGTCGCACATGTGGTAAATTTTCCTGTTATAGTTTGTTATTTCTTGTTATATGAGCACATGTTTTCAGGTTTAAGTTCTTACAGGTGATTTTTATATCCGTTTTTAGACAGTCAATCAGTATCATATCGTAAACTGTAGTAATCTTACGATATTAAGGTTAAATAAATGAAAACGTTTTTGTAGAGTAATTCAGAGTTACTTGCTAAGAATTTTATAGTAGTATAAATATTTGTAAATTCATTATCTTTACTTTGCCGTTCCATTCAAACAAAGATTTATGCAATTTTGTCCAGAATTTTTTTAAATAATATATATTAGATTAAATAAAAAACATATTTAATTAAATTAGTGCTTATCGGTAACCGGGTTATTGAATGAGAGTGCTATTGATTTCATTACCCAGGACTAAGATGACACTTGGATTGCAGATGAAGCACACTGATACTGAAATCGATGATTTCAGTCCATGGACTGTTTCTCCAAAAGGAGTTTCACGACTTGAAAATGAGTTTGAAGTTTTGCAATTTGTTGGAAAAGGTGCTTTTGGTGATGTCTTGCAGGTAATAAAATGTAATTACTCTAACTGTAACTCTTATACTTAATAGCAATTTAGTTCTTAATTTGTCTATTTTATATCTTTATTCTTATAATGCATATTATTCAAAGACAATCTTAACTCTGAATAACAATCTTTAAAATATTGGCCATCATTTAAAAACTACTATTTACAATAAAATTGTATGTATTGTAACTACATACATTACAATGATACTAGGGAACCTGTGCGGCTCAATGAGCTGCACAGTATGAAACACAACGCCGAGGAAAACATTATGCTTAAATTCGAGTAATTCTATAGTTACATCTTAGAGTTGTTTAAACACTTGTTAGAAACTAATTTCAAATACCTCTATTTGCGTCGTCAAGGCTCACCTACATTATTTCTGCTCTTAGTTTTAACTGATAACTTCTAATGAATGCTAAACGATCTGATTCAATTTGAGTTAACATGTTGCAACACACTTTTTTCAGCATTGAGAATTGAAGAAAACTGTTACCTTACTGATAACCTGTGTTAAGTTGGGTCTTTTTATTTCTTTGATTTGAGACATTCCCCTAATCAAACAAATTTTCTCCATAGAGAATCCTGAAAAGTGGGGTGATACCAACCATTTCATGTTCTCCATTTTTAACCCACAAACTCTGGGTTACCAACTGGACAGCTATAATCTGCTTTGAATAGGCTAAAGCAGCAGCACCATTGAAAGTTGGTTAACATATTTTAAGGTGTTGTCTGTCAGTCACAGTATATGCCCCGCATCAGAACATTCTCACGTTGTTCAGTGGAGTTTCTCTTAATACCTGTCCATAAGTTTTGAATGTGTCGAAATAGATTGGATAACTCTAGTAGCTATAAGATTTGGATAGCAATTTTAATTTTATCTTTTTGAACAGCGTAATATATTATTTGCCTCACCTGAATCATAAAAATAAACTTGACCATAACTCGAGTGGATCGTTGAATACATTAACACTAATTCCTTCACGTATGTTTGGTCTAATATTGCCACTAAAACTTTCAATAGTAAATGAATTTTTGAAACTTCTTATTTTTGGCTTGAAATGTTTGGATTGTGCAGGTGAATTCAGTAAAAAACTTTTTATAAGTTTGTCCGAGCAACTGGCAACATAACCTAGGAGTAAACAATCCATTTGCGTTTTTTCTCAATTGAAGTAGAGCGAGTAATACAAAAGTTTACAATAAAAACATAAGGTCCGCCAAGATTTGGTATAATCTTACTACTTGAACTTGTCGTAGTCAAGGCATTAATATAGTTTGTACTAAATGTTTTGAAATATCTCAATCTGTCAGTGTCAGAAGTAAACATTTCTTGCATGCATTCATTTGATCTGACATTAGGCAAGTTTAATTTACCACCATGACAACACTATGTGCTTCGTATATTTTTTCACTTCCAAATTATGTTGCATAGCAGAACTGGCAAATTACTCATCTCACCAAGTGAATGTGTATCTGGATGGGTATCTGTGGGACCAGACCTCTCTTTTTCTACTCTCCTCATACGCATAAGATATCTTATTATTAATTGTCTCCTCCCGTTTTCAATATTTCTTCTTTGAACTTGAGGCATCTTCTGTTCTTCCAACAAAACTGATTAACTGTTTAACTTGGTCTTAACCTACTGAATATTACAAACATTAATATTTACTCCCAAAAAGCTATAGTTCGGCCGCTTAGAAAGCGACCTCCTCCAGCATTGGTTTAGCATTAGCGTGCAGGTCGTTTTCTAAGTGGCCGAACTATAGTGAGTTTCTTTTTTTAAACAGCTGTTTTTTGTTTTTAAATTTGTTCAATGTATTTCTTATGGGGAAAACCAGACTTTTGAGAGGGCCTCACACCCTTAAGAGTACGAATTTTAAAATTCTAATACCTTAGTGCAAAACTACATATAAAGACAAACCTTTTGACACCTTAAACTTAAAAATTGGTCTACAAATAAGGGAGGAGTTGCGTTAACAAAAAACGGCTTCACGTATTATATACAGGGTGACAAAAAAGTCTGGAAACGGCTTGATATCTTATTAACTAAATTTATTAAAAAATTCAAACCTTTCACATCAACTTATATGTATGAAAACCACTTTTTGCAAGCATTACCATTTTTGTACCTTCACCAGGGGACGGCCCATAAGGAGTAGGTACATAATCTTTAATGTAAGCATAGGTTGTTGTTATGCACATCATTTTAAAGGTCTGGTCAAGTGGAGTTCATTGCCGGAAACCGCGTTAAAAAAGGTCCATCCGTTACAAAATGGCGGCAGTCCAAAGTTCTTGCGGAATATACCTGCACAGGCCTTAGTTTAATGGTAAATACTCATAGTCAACATTAGCCGGGAAGTATGAAACCCGCTTAAATTTGTTTTGAAGATTGGTTAACTTAGTCAATGAGCTAGTTGACTTTAAAATACAACGAGGTGTTAGCCCGTCCTACGTACGGGATTAGTCAGTTAAAACTGTGTATAAATCAGAACAGCTAGCGTACACGTATAAAGACAAATTTTATAGCATCCTACAGTAGAAAGAGTAATTATCAATTGAGAAAGTGTATAGGCCTAGTCAACGATATCACCTTCCAATTACATCGCATATTTGCCTCTTCCATAATCAATATCAACACAATACAATTACTCATACTATACACAATTTCCAGTAGGTCTGAATAGAAACTCCCTAAAATAAAACGAAAACATCCAATAAAATTCACAGTACACATAATTATAAAGTTGGTGTCCTGACATCATTAAACGAATCGTCCACACATATCCTTTATATCAATTTCACTGCATCAATTGCTAAATAAATAAGTGTAAACAAAGAAAAGTCAAAACAACAACATATAGTTTGTTTTAGTAAACAGCTGAGTCGAAAATAAAATAATATTCATTTAAACAAAAGGACTGGTCACATGTTGAAGGAATTTAAAACGTAAAACACTAGTAAAGCTAGTGACGTAATTAATTGTCTATGTTTATTATCCATTCCTTCTAATATCCTTAATAATTAAACAACCCTCATTGAATCAATATACACTGTAATTCCCCGTATTCATTTATTTAAACTATAAAATTCAGCGCCTCCAAACAACCACAACTAAACACACGCCAAACTTTTAGATTTCATAAAAAGATTGTTAGTCTAATTGCAGTATACTAGGTCAATGATGACGTTGTGCTCAATCTATGTCATTCATTTGTATATCTTTGGATAAAACCCGTCTGGGCTGTGGTGGCAATTTAAAATTGTATTCCTGAGGATTCTTGTTCTCCTTCTTTATGACATCAATATTTCCGGGCCTAATCCAAACCAAGTTTAATTATTCAAAAACATTGATTGTGAACAAACCAAGATGAATTGAAACGTGTAAAAAATGGATTTTCCTACCCTTTCCTAAAAAAGTTGAGCAGTATAATAATTTGCATATCCTTTTTTAAGACTCGTGTACAGAGCCTCGACTTGTATACATCGATGGTGTTACTTTTCTCGGTGGTCTACTAATCTTACTTATTTCCTAAAAATCAATGAAAAATCAGAGTAAATAAAATAACCTCATAGTTCTACAGAGCATTTTCATATTTAACCAGCTGTTAGTTAAAAGAAAATTATATTTCACTAAAACAAACCGAAGATTACAAAGATTTATTTTAAAAAAATCCTTTGAACATCCTAGTATTTTACCTATGTATATTTAAATAATCTGTCATCCTCTTATCGAAGGATTGAACGTATCAATGATTAGCATTACACATAGTATAAATAAGTCAACCCTTAGTATGTCTTTTAATTTTATCCAAATGCTGAATTTTTGTTACAAACGCTGAATGTTTACAGCTGTTATGATAAACAAATTATATTACACCAAAAGCTCGTTTAGAATCTTAGCATCGGCTGCTAGACTTTTTAAAAATTAAAACTTAATTTCAAAAAAACTGAAACCCTAAACTAAAATTATGGCTTCAACATTCCCTAGTTCTCAAAATTATCTCTCTTTCAACACAAAAATCATGAAAATCTGTCGAGTGGTTGTTCCAGAATCGTGAAATAAAAAAACACTGTTTCATTTAATATTATAGATTCCAGCTCTCATGCTAATGTTTAATATGAGTATTTACCAATACTAAGGCCTGTGCAGGTATATTCCACAAGAAATTTGAACAGCCGCCATTTTAAATAAATAAATAAAATTGCCTTTATTGATCAAGCGTTTCTCAGTACAACTGCTTTTCAGAACAACTCTCGTCATATCAAAAATGTGTGGTGTTGTTTCAAAAATGTACTATGAAAGAAATGAAGATGTAAATGATTACAATCTTCTTGAGCAAAATAAAATAAAAGAAAGTGATAAAAAAGATCAAGATTTTTGCATTATTCCGATCAAACAGAGCGAAAATAATGATGACCAGTCTGATTTTGACACTATATTTGAAGAAGAAAATGACAGTGAAATGGAAAATGATATTATTTTCGAAGATGATATTGAAAATCAACCTGATGATTCACCAAGCTCAAGTGATATTGAAAATCAACCTGATGACTCACTAAGCTCAAATGAACATTTAGACACTGATGAAATAAGGGTATCACAGAAAAGGCAAAGAAAACCTCCTCTGTGGACAAAAGATTATCAAATGTCAGCTACCTGCAATGAAGATTCAACTTTAGAATCTTCAGAGGAATGGAATGAAGCAATAAAAGAGGAAATAAAAGCTCATTTAAAAAATGAAACTTGGGTGCTCGAGGATAGAAACAAAGAAATTAATGAAATTGGTTGTACAGTTGGCTCTCGATAGTCCGACACTTAACAGTCCGACACGCTCGGTAGTCCGACGCTGCGGCAAACTACAGTAGACAGCTGTTTAGTGACATCGGTCTAGGCGTCTCACGTGTTTCCGGTAGCTGGTTCCAGTGTTCAGTAGCGAAGTGACTCGTGCATACGTACTGTACTTTTGGTGATCAAGTGACAGTTTACCTTCAGTGTTT